CATCATCATTGCGCGCGCCAGATAGAGGCAAGCAACAGAAAGTTTTAAATTTTACAGTTTTCGTATGGAATTTCATCACTAAATCCACTTCTGAGAAGTTTTGAGGTGAGAAATCAGCTGTGTAGATTTCAAATATTGACAGTTTTACGAGAAGTGATGGCGGAACAAAAATGTGCTTGAAGGTTTTCAGAGTTGAGGAGCTCTGCAAGTGGCTGTGCGGGAAGCCTGTGCCAACCCGCGGGAGGAGCGTGTGAGGCCGGCCAGCCGCCCGCTCACAGAGCCCTCTGCTCCCGCCGTCACACAGACCGCTGCAGCTACAATGTCAGAGGAAAACACAGCTGGAAGGTTTTCATACCGCTGATCTGTCTTTACATTCTGAGTAAGATTGAAACATTTGAACTTAAATCAAGAGACCACTGTGTGTGGGTCGCTGGTGTGTGTGTCACATTGAACATTACGTCGTGGCACTTGTGTGTGTGGCGTCGCTATGACTACCAGTTACATTGAGGGGCACTATCTCTGGGTACTATCTGCCGTGGAAAACGGAGCACGGCCAAACCGAGTTCAGTCGAGGCAAGCTGAGCTGGTACTGGTAATGTAAAAGCGCCATAATATAATGTATGTAATAAATACTTGGAAGGAACTAAATAAAAAAGGTATAAAGTGTAGTTTTTGGTTAAATGGAAGTTATTACCATACTGATGATACATATGAACTGATTTATGAAGGATAGTGTAGCTCAATGTGGTGCTTTTGTTTACTCCTGGACATTTTTAGCTGTGAAGCCTTTCTATGAGCTGTAGGTGAAACTCATTGGATCACGATTAGCTTGTGGTGCTCCAGTATGTTGTTTCTAGTCACGTGATTCTGATGATGCTCGAAATTCAGAATGAGGCAGGAAGTGAAAGGCAGGATGGATGAGAGGGAGGAAAGTCTGTATCGTGCTAGTTATTGTTCACTCATTGTGTCGTCCCAGTCAACATGGAGTGTGAAATCTGGAATCACCATATTAATTCTTAAACTGTGGCCAAAAACCTGTTTTGTGAGGTAACAGTGACCTTTGACAACCAAATCCTAATCAGTTCATCCTTGAGTCCAAGTAGAGTAGACGTTTGTGCTAAATTCAAATAAATTGTAACCGTTTTCATTGCCAGCCACGGGTACTGCCAGCATGGAGGCATGAAAAAATATCAACACCTCTAAAACAGTTCGACAGGAGACGTCGCAGCAAGTGACAGGTGGAATAACTAATGACTTCCACTCACACATCATTTTTCTGCGGTGCAGCAGGTATCTTCTTATTTGGCGCAGCACCCCTCATTCTTCCTTCTACATAATGGTCTCTAAATTAAAAAAACAAACAAACAAAAAAAGAAAAATATGTTTAATTACATCATAGTATTAAAGTCAGTCTGTTTTCAGGAGATTTGTGTTTTGGTTGTGCCGTCAATGCACCTACACTGTCTCCTTTTCTGAATGTTTAAATATATCATGTTCTACTAGAATTATATGATGCCCATATTTGTCTCAGTCTGCCCTCTCTATGGACCTTGGTCAAAAAGAAAACTCATAGTGGCATTTGTAAACACTGAAGTTAGTTTTAAACATTAACAGAACAAGAGACTATACTTACTGATTGGCCCTCTGAAGCTCTTTCTGTTTCTGCAGATTACTGTCCACATACTTAAGCACTCTGCTTTCAGGAACCCATTCGTCCCAGCTGGAAGATTAAACACCAAGAAAGAAATCAAGAACTTGGGAAATCTTTACCGTACAAATCTTAAAAAGACTGGATTTATCTGAACCACAAAAACTTACTTCTTATTCCACCCACTGTAATGAATAAAGTATTTTATTTGTTTGTCCTTGATGCTTATTTTAACACACTGCAAAGAAAAACATAATTCATAGTTATAAATCTTTATATCAGAGCAGGATCACATGACCAGAGAAACAGGCTCACCATGGCAGCCTACCTTAGCTTCGTAGAGCAATGGCCCGTGAAAACACAGCACTCTTTCACCTGAACAGAGTGTTGGTCAATTAAAATCAGCATGACAGAAGTCCAAGTACAACAAAAGGACATTTGAAAGCTGACTGAACTACTTGCACACGCGCGCGCAGACACGTACACACACTGAAAGTTCATATCGAGGTTTATGATGCCTGGATAATTATGACACCTTAAAATTCGATTCTTGAACATCACACACAGAGCTCTTTTTGATGGCTGAGAAAAATAATTACATCAAAGTTAATGATGAAATGACGTGAGACTAGAGGAGTTTAGTCCTGACTTTACGTATGATGGGTAAGGCTGGGCCTAAAACTTTTGATAATTTCATTATCAAATCATCTGACATTAAATATATAGAGATTTTATATAAGAAATATATATATGTATTTTATATTTATTTATATTTTATATAAAAAGCAGCAAATCCTCATATTAAGAAGCTGCAAATATGTTGTTTGGCAAATGACTTAAGACACTGATAATCAGGATAGCTCATTCTATCAAATTAGCAATTCATAATCAATTGACTGACTAATAATTTCTGATGCAATTCCTACTAAAAGAGAAATACTTCACAACTTGAGTTTGTGAACTTGCAGCACATTTCATTAAGTAAAATTACATGTTTCACTTGAGACAGTCCTAATTATTATCCTTAATGCAGATTTAAACATTAAATGATAAAGTATGAGATACTGAGATCCTACCATTTTAAATAATTCACTTGGTACTGCCTTGTAATGGGGCCTTTATCTTTTCTTTTTCTCTGTGACTAATCAATAAATGATACATATACACAAGTTATTCCTGAAACACTGTACCCATTTACTTTGGCCACACCAACAAAGACCACTTAAGTACTTTCGATACACCTGGTATATGACAACAGCAGGCCAGCTAGGACTCAGCTAACTGTGAGAACAGAGAGGTGGGCGGTGAAATCAATAAGAAGCTAACTCTGCATGAATGAAGCTACTGCTTTTAGCTAGTAACAACATCGCTGAAATTCAAATAATGGACTTTTCCGTCATGATACTGCTAACGTTACACTAGGTTATAAAGAAAATGCTTAATATGTAACTAACGTGGCGCATAAAAATGATCAAGACCTGTTCTGTGCAACAACAATGAAGGCTAACAACGCTAGGTGTCGACGGCGGCAGTGTTGTGTCGACCATTAAGCTAGCCAACATGTTGGAGCTTTCCGACGGCTCCAGCACTGACCAACACCACACCATCTATCACAGATGAAAACAGACAACTTGTTACCTTCTTGAAATTTAGGTTTCGGGTCCTGTTTTGGCGCCATTCACGGATTAAACTATCAAAATATGGGAAAAATCGCTAGCTCCCATTCCAGTCTGAAACGGCGCCGCTCTCTACAAACGTCATAATCAAGGGGGTGACGCATTAAAACCGCGACCAAATATGCGCTTCAAAATGAAAAGCAGCGCGCTAAATAAGGTGGAGTCAGAATAACCGTCTGTTTGAATATCTTTGTCGTTTACATTATGTGTTGAAAATCTTATTTCAATCGTCGTTTTCTGAATTTTTATCAGTGGTATCATTTAGAAAAGTAATTTCCTGGCTAAACAAGGAATCTTGAAAGACTAGTTTTTGCTGTTCTCTTCCAGTTGGACCGAAGAGTTGAACACAAGTGTGTTTTGTCATCTCACGAACTGCCTGAAAGCGATGAATTAAAATGAGTTTAGTAAGAAAGTTAGTTTAGAAATACTGATTTAGAACTCGTGATTCCCCCAGCGCAGCGCTACCTCTCTCTGAAAGTTTTATTAGAGAGCAAAAAAAAAAAAAGTAAAATGTTTTTGTGTACAATTACATTTTGATATTTATTCAAACTTTTGTTGTTTCTACAAATTCTGTTTCTTTACATGACGGTCTAAATGCTGTTTCAAACCATCCATTCATCGGCTCAAAGGACTGGACTGCTGCTCAGTGGTCCAAAGTTATGTTCTCTGATGAAAGTAAAGTTGCATTTCCTTTGGAAATCAAGGTCCCAGAGTCTGGAGGAAGAGAGGAGAGGCACAGACTCCACGTTGCTTGAAGTCCAGTGTAAAGTTTCCACAGTCAGTGATGGTTTGGGGTGTCATGTCATCTGCTGGTGTTGGTCCACTGTGTTTTCTGAGGTCCAAGGTCAACGCAGCCGTCTACCAGGAAGTTTTAGAGCACTTCATGCTTCCTGCTGCTGACCAACTTTATGGAGATGCAGATTTCATTTTCCAACAGGACTTGGCACCTGCACACAGTGCCAAAGCTACCAGTACCTGGTTTAAGGACCATGGTATCCCTGTTCTTAATTGGCCAGCAAACTTGCCTGACCTTAACCCTATAGAAAATCTATGGGGTATTGTGAAGAGGAAGATGCGATACGCCCGACCCAACAATGCAGAAGAGCTGAAGGCCACTATCAGAGCAACCTGGGCTCTCAGAGCAGTGCCACAGACTGATTGACTCCATGCCACGACGCATTGCTGCAGTAATTCAGGCAAAAGAAGCCCCAACTAAGTATTGAGTGCTGTACATGCTCATACTTTTCATGTTCATACTTTTCAGTTGGCCAACATTTCTAAAAATCCTTTTTTTGTATTGGTCGTAATATTCAAATTTTTGGAGATACTGAATTTGGGATTTTCATTAGTTGTTAAATGAAAAAAACATTTGAAATATATCAGTCTTTATGTAATGAATGAATATAATATCTAAGTTTCACTTTTTGAATGGAATTACTGAAATAAATCAACTTTTTGATGATATTCTAATTATATGACCAGCACCTGTATATGTAGGGAGCAACTTATAGGATAACAGAAAACAAATTAGGTTGCATTTAACACTGTAAAATAGCTCCAAATGTATTACAATGTGTGATTAAGTTTAGGATTTTTGCAAAACAAACTGTAATCTTACTACGTACTGTAACAGAAGAAGACATGCACCTGAATCAGGACTGTCAACTACAAAGATGCACTTTCTTATATCTGTTTAATTCTTACAAATATCAAACAGCACAGTAGACCTTGTAGCGGTTCAAAATGATCAAAGCCTCTATTGAGTTATTGACATCATCTGATAGTAAAACGGACAGAGAAACAGAAAATGTTACAATGCATGTCAAGCAACAATGACATCTTTAAATAGCATTAATTATATAATTACAAAAGAAATATCACATACAATGACAGCAATGCATATCCACAAATCAAAGAAATGCTGAAAATATATATGATAATAAATAATCCTAATTGTAAGCACAAGTCAAGAAAAATAAAAGGGAGGGGAGGCGTTCAATGATTTAAACCTCTGGGCCAAAATGCATTTTGTGATACACTCAAAGGCTATCACAGTTAACCTATAGGCTGTCGCAAATACACTTAACAAAAAGGCTATGCATCCTGTGGCCTCAATAAAGATCAGCATAGCACTCAAACATATGAGCTTTCAGGTAATTCGCAGACACATGCAAAGCTGAAAACTAAGTGTTACTGCAACCGTGAATGCTTCACTGCTCCACACAGCCGTTATGTAAAAAGGCAAGTGCTAAAAATCAAACAAAAAGACATTATGAAATGTTATTAATCCACTTATTTAACAGTTTTTAAGCCTTTCAATTAAATAATCATTAAGTGGACCAGAAACTAGCCTTGTCTTGAAAGTTGAGTCATCATATTTTGTTATGCAAAATAAAACAGATGTACTTGAAAAGACAAAATACACAACATTGCAAATCTTAGATGTGTATACAGGTCCAATTGCATCATGAGACAACAGAAGGCTACTTGCTGGACGAGTGCCACTCATTCACACGCTGAAAAAGCCAGGTCTTAAATACTGACTTAGTCCCAATTTATGTCTCTTAGGTCTGAAATATACAACATTGTTCATATTTGATTTGACTGAAACGGGCGAAGAGCGCAGAGTTATGACAACAGAAGGATCTAGCGTTTGCTTTTGCAATTCTAGTGGCAACAGTTCCTAGGGGCATAAGGAATGCTTCTTTAAAAAACAACATACATCCAACATAACTTACATCATAAATAATTCCTTAAAAACAATAGGACCACAGCATGAATGTCCTACCACAAAAAATCTACAGTGATGGCAAAAATGGCCAGATCTTTCTGCTGTCAAAACATTTGACAGAAATTATGCCATTTAGGAATAAAGTCTTAACACATTTTCTGTTTTGCTGTGACTTGCCTTTTGTACATCTATAACAATGCCCATTTTCTTTATATTCTAAATAACATGTTCCATAAGGTGTCATCTCATTGGGTTCTGTGCACATATACTGAAATAATGCCATTGACATGGAATATCGAAACAAAACTGTAAAAACCAGGTACAAAAGGTACAATATAATCAAAGGACCACATGAAGAAGTGTGAAAAAGTCTTCAGTATTCACAGAAAAATATCAACTGAAGTAACTCACCGGACAAGAAGCGTCCTAAGTTTATATACATATGATAAGTAAAATTGAAAATAGATTTTCCTCTCTGTACATAGCACTGTATTCTTTCATTTTCCTCTTCCTTATTTACAAAGAACCCCTGTTCTTGAGGTCTCTCTTGTTTTTCAGTTCTGTGTGGATCTAGTCAAGAGAGATAACGTCAGATATGGAGCCATAAATGGCTGCCGCCGCTGCAGCTTCCACTGAGGACCTCGACAATCCTGAGATGGTGTGGCTGTCCCTGTCTCGCTCTCTGTCTTTGTCGCGGTCCCGCAGGCTGCTTGAAGACACCAAACTACTGGTGCTGCCACTGTTGCTGCCTCCATTTGCTGCCAGCGTGCTGCTCCCGGGGGTGCCTGGCGGCTCCCTTAACATCTGTGAGGAGCTATAGGGCAGGAAACGGTTGAGAAGCAGGTCGTGGTCCTCTGAGGCCGACGCCGATGCAGCTGCTGCGGCAGCCATCACCATGTTGTAATGCTAACAGGACAGAACAAAGTGATCAATAACACAACAACCAAACAAAAACTGCAGTCGGTGCTGGCAATGTTCCGGTGTTTGAGTAAATATACCTGATTGTCGCCTTGGAGAAAGGAGAAGAAATTTAGATCTGTAAAAAAGGAAGAAGACTTTTACTGCCATTTACTTCATTCTGGATATACACTATCAAAATTTCCAGTTACAAACTGATTCATTTGTATTTTGTCAATTCTGTCTTAATACAAAACTTGCATGCCATAGAGAGAATGGTGGGTTGCTGTAATCATTCCTCAGTCAATCTGTCCATACTGGCTGGGAAGCAATCCCTTCCTGATGTGACTACACTGTTCAGACTTACCAACATTCTCAGCAGTGATACACTGTCAAGGAGGCAAATAACGTATGCTACTGTAAAACCCTTGGCGCCTGACTGCCACAATTTGTGACAGAAATCGCTCTTCTGCTAGAGATTCTGTGCAACTAAAAATTTCCAAGGATTTCATTATCTCCCATGTCCATCATGAATAAACGTCCATAAGTCTGCTTAGAAATCATAGAAATAAAAGACATTCCTTATAACTCCAGATCTGGCCTGAGAATCATCGTTTTCTTTAATTTCAAAGTTATCCAGTAATAGTTGTCATCTATGGGTACACTGCAAACACGAACATAGCTAATTCTGCATACTTTTAATGGTGCCATTTCCCAAAATGTCAACAAATAAAAGGCCCAAGTCATAGCCCACATCTAACTAAGAGTTTACGGCAATACTATCCTTTCTACATCCAAAAGCTCTGAAATCAGGAACATTATCCACAGTCTTATTTCCATGCTAAAACTTAAGCTAATATAGGGCTGATAAAACGCTTCAGCAGACTAAGCCGGACAAATCAAATAGGTATCTTTATCCTGTTAGTCATATGATTTATTGCAACTATCAGCACATAATGCAAGTAAGCGCTGTTTGAGGAAACAAAAAGGAAAAAGACTAACTTTGAAAGATACCTAATTGATTACTCAGACTGCTGAAGCATCATATTAGCTTCAGCTGAACTCTAGACCGCATTGTCCCTCATTTCTTACAGCGTGGCTGCACTAAAGACATATTGTTTCACAGCCAGTATGGACAGGATCATTACTTTGATCAGTAACTTTTTCAACACACATTTTTATTATTTTATTAAGACAGACTTAATCAAAATCTAAACCTATCCTTTAAGGAAAGTGACAGGTCTACCTGGCAGGTCACTAGTTGTATGATAATAGTGGCGATAGTCCTGGATGAGAGGTGGAGGGGGGGGGATGTAGCTGGTCTCCACAGGGGGCATGCTGGGAGCTCTGGTCACCGGTGAGGCCTGGCTGTGTAGGTTCAGTACTCTGAGAGGAAACAACGCCACGTCAAGTTAGTGATAAAAGAAGTAACACGACAGAGCTGAGCGCAAAGATCCCGAAAACAAATGTGTTTATGGTAATCTCATTGTATTGTGAGACTCACCCCTTGTTCGGGGGCGGAGAGACAGGTGACAGCGATGGACAGACCCTTTTAGGCGGAGGCTCGTCATCTAGCTCATCCTCCGAGGAGCTATCCAACGTCAAGTCAATCACATCAACTTTTCTGCTGTTGTCATTAGCTGATCCCCGTTTCTGCTCATGCATTTCTGTCCGAGACGAATCTACAAAGAAACAAGTTTAATCACACCATGCTCACAGATCACAATGAAGACTACGTTTAAAGAATCTGAAACATGCAAGCTACTTACCGCTGTCTACACCATTGTACGAAGCAGACACCTCCTGCACCTCTTTCTTTGACCTCATGGGGGCCCAGTTTCCGTCTTCTTTGAACTGGATTTCATCACAGTCAGAACAGCTATTCAAGATTTCCATAAACAACCTGTGAAAACAACATGACATTTCAATACAGTTTGGCAATTTTGCAAACAGAATTACATAAACTTTAGCACTTCATAGCCTTAAAACCTATATTTTGAAAACACTGTATTATTGGCACTTTTTAAAGCTGCAATTCCTATTCTGGCATTCAGACAAAAACAGCTTCAGCTACAAATAAAAAGATGAAATATGATGCTGGAAGGTCAATTTAAGCTATAGAGGCATGTGTTTGGAAACACAGTGCTTTATAATACCACAAAGAAGGAACCTCTCTCTCTTTTTGTATTATTTTAATTATTATACGCTCCTCAAAAATCACCAGGTCTCAACCATCACAGTGGACCCATAATATACTGCTTCGCACCAGATGAAGCAGAATTGTGCTCACCCGTCAATAATGAGGTGCTCATACGGAGCCTTCTTGTCACAGACTGGACACACCCAGGTCGGCTTCTTCTCATTCATTTGGATATAAAGTGTAGCATCGAAGCACTGAAGGTGAGAGCATGTCATCGCTCTGCAAGGGATTGTCAGCCTCATCTTCCCCAGCTTTGACACAAAACAAAAAACCCACAAAATAAATGACACTTCTCAGTACCACATTAAATACCGTACCAGTTAGTTTAAAAATGACAAAATATTGTACGACAAAGAAATTGTGCTGAGCATATAGCAGATGGAGAAGTACTTTTTGTCTAAATAAAAAAATACAGTTCTTAACTACTTTTAAAAAAATCACTATGTAATTACAATTGTCAATTCATTTCTTGTCGACTAAGTGGTTCTACAGATAACTCTGCAGGCTACCAGTTTTTTTTTAATTAAGCAGTGTAGTGAAGTATTTACAGGACACAGGAGAGAGACTCGTAGACTGGTGGTGGCGATCTCACTCTCTGGATCAGCTGTTAATTTCTCTTTAACTGTTAAAGAAAAAGAAAAACACAAAGATTAAATACAAGAATAACGACTGCTGAAAGTGTGTCATATGCTGAAACTCATGTAATCCTTAATTAATACACAAGGATGTAGAGAAACATCATACTGGGACGCCACATACTTCTGTAAAACCAACGCAAAAATATGACAGAGGAAAAGTTTTATGTGTTTGCATAAGGAGCAAAGGAACTTTTGAAAGAATCGTTTTTTTTGGCAGAAGTTATTTATAGAAGTCACTATATGAAAGAAGTCAATTCATGTGGTCTTTTTTAATTTCCTACTGCCTTTCAGATTGTAGTGGCAACACATTGTTTTTACTACAAAAGTAAGTAGCAACTTACTCAGAGCTCTTGAGTGATCGGGGTTCCTAATTCCTTTAGCCCGTAGTCTTTGCAGCAACACTGCAGACGACTGCTGTCGTACCAAATAAACAGCCATGGAAAAACTCTGACAAAACAAATATTTAAAAAAAACATTGAGCAAAACAAGTCACACTGAAGTGACTGACAGTTGATTCATAAAGCTTTGCGTGGATCTTCTTACCCTCCCAATTTCAGAAGTCCACGACACCACAATTGTGTTGGGAACTGTGGTGGACAGTCGGACAAGAGAGGTTATGTTGATGGGGCGACTGGGCCTTTTTGGTTCAACTCCGTTTTTGGTTGGAGGAAGATATCCCTGCACCCAAAACATCAAACATCAGCAATTTGTTTCTGAGCAACTTGCGGTGTGGTACACGGAAAATGTGACAACAAACTGTCTGAACTCACCGGGAGATTACAGGGTTTGCCGTTCACCTTGACACACAGATTAGGGGGGAAATGATCCTCCTGAGGACAGCTTGTCTCTGATAAACAAAATCTGAAAATGAAGAAGTGAAATTACAGAAGCGATAAAGTCAAATGCTGTTCAGTTGCCACTTTCACAAAAAAGGTTGGCTTGCTTGCTTATTTTACCATTTCAGTTGTGTCAAGTACAGCCATCTCCATCTATGATATAGGAGAGCACTTCTTAAAGGATGGCCATACAGTAAATATTTAATTGTACAACTAAGAAAAAATTCATTTCTTTATGTCATGAAGTATACCCCTGGAATTGAACTGCAAACAAATCTTCAAGCATTTTGGTAAAAATTACACCACTGCTTTGAATAAAGGTTTTGCCAATACTGCACGTTGTGCACCTGTACTGCTCAGTAACACATGTCTACATTTGTGTATTGTTTGTACAAAAAAATGGCTCCAGAAGACAAGCGTCCGCTGCAGCTTTCTTTCCACAATTCATAACCTGTTTTCATGGTAACTAATCTTGATTCCTATCTTTGTCATTTATCATCACTTATTACAGTTAGATTAAAAATAATAATAAGATTTGAGCCACTAAGATCGGTCTACACTGTGCAGTTATGTTTTAAGACTAAAGAAAGACAGAAATAACAAAACTATACAAGTGACATGGCTATTTCTGGTTGCTTCAAACTGAGAGAAGCTAAACACAGAACCACTATTCACTAAGTGCATTTATAATTCTTGATTTAAAGTAGACATTTTTATGATGTCAGGAAAAGTATGTTAGACATACCTTAACTGGACTTGAACAGCAAAGTCACATTTGGTCCCAGATATGTCCCTGAAGAATAAAAAGGGAAGACAGGTCAGGTTGGTCAAAACAGTTTAACACACAGTTTGATAAACAACTCAGTTTACTCCAATTGCTTGCCGTGTCATATATCAAATGCTCTCCATGTCATGTACAGGTGAACTTAAAAAATGTTTTGGTCGTTACAATGCTTTCACAGTATTCTTTCTTCTTCTCTCTCATCTCTTTGACAACTTCAACTTGATCGTGTGCAGCATAGAACTTTCTTACTTACATGGAGCTGCTGATCTGCTGAACTTGCTGTGGTGTTAATGCGAAGGCATAACATGCTTCCTGGAACCGTTGACTGTTGTCTGAAGCTAGGAAAAGAAACGAGGAACAGAACATGACAGTCAAGAGGGGGAAACTTACACAAATGACTAGGAACCAGTATCAACTCATAGTGAACTTTCACCAAGCAGGTCATGGTTCCGATATACATATGAGGGACACATTAAAGGAAAAACCTGAATAAAAGAGTGGAGAAATCATCCACTAGGACTCACTGAGTTGTTTGGTGAGTATAAAAATGATGAATTAAATGCCACGGCTAACACCTATGGAAGATTTTGGACCAACATGTAAGGCAATGCTCTTCACCACCATCACCATATGACCAAATGATGTAAAATAAACTTTCATCTTCAAATCTATTTAGTGATGACTGTCTCTTATGCTATATTTCCTTTTGTTATGTCTTGCTATGTTTGTTTTTTCTTTCCATCTGCCATACTCAGGTCTCAGGCAAATTAGATCTTAATCTCAATATGATCACCTAAAAAAACCTGAAATAAAACAATAAATATCTTGTGGAGGAATGGTGTTCATCCCTTCAATAGAGTTCCACAGATATGGCAAGAAGAACTGAAGCTGTTCTGGAGGCTCGTTGTGGCCTGACTCTAAAAGACAATTCATGTTGATTTTTCCTTTAATTTGTCACCTATCTATATGTGGTCACAGTACTCGATCAGTATCCACATGTGGGTAAAGTGTTATCACTACACAGGTGAGCAGGAAGTGGTGAACTCACCCAGGCTGGTTGGCTTAATAAGCTCATCCAGCACGTCGTAGAATGGCAATCTCTGGAGCTTGACATCAGGGTGTACAGGGTGCAGGGCGGAGGGGAGGTGAGGCAGACTCAACTCATGCTTAGGCCCGAGTAAAGAAACAGGCAGCAGAGGCGAAGGGGAACCGTGGCTGTCAAATCCCAGTTGTGCGAGGCCAGCAGGGAGACTGGAGGCAGAGTGAACAGGCAGAGCCAGGTCCACTGGTGAAACCATTTTGGTTGGGAAGCGCCGTCTATAGAGCTCTTTGATCTTCATCTGCACTGCAGGACTGCAACCAGCCTTGAGTAGGTGGAGAGCTTTGGTCAAAAGTTCGTGTTTGCGCCCGTGCTTATTCCGTCCCGCATACCCCAACAACACTTGGAGCTCCGAAACTCGAAGGCTCATTACCATTTGCTGGTGAAAAATGGGAAATGGTCTATTACACCCTTATAAAAACATAGTTTCCTATTCTGATGTAAAGAAACAAGTTTTCTTATCTCTTTTTGACTTCAGACTTTACCATTTAAAAATCATAACCAAATAAAACCAAATAAAAAACTTTTATTGTCACATATACAGTTGGCCTCAGTCAGGGGCACTGATTGGCAAAGCCGGCACATTTTTTACATTTATTCAAGTCTTTAATACAAAATGATTAAGGTGATCACTGTGATTATGCCGGTTGTGGAAACAACAACATGAGTTGAGTATCTGTAAAAAATTAATGGAATCCAATACACCAGAGACTTTTGCTTGAGACAGTGTTACAGGGGCGTTAATTCAACTCAGAAAGTAGTTTGTGATTAGTTGTGAATAACAGTATAGTATAGTACAATATGCTCCCCTCCCCCCGTCATCTTGTTGTAGAAGTCAAAACAGAAGCTTCTTACAACATAATACAATCTAACAGATACAGTTTTTCTCCCTACAGTGTAATGCAGTCAAATAAAGCAACACCACAAATCTTATCAATTACCATGAAATTGGATCAACACCTCTGTGACAAAATTACATTTTCAAAGGTAGAGTTTTCTGAAAGTCCATTGTATTATGTTACGTTTTATTATCGTAATAAAAAGAGAACTTGCAATATGCAGATGTAATCGGCTATCCACTCTGATAATCAAGGTCATCTGTCTGTTAATTGACGAGCTCAATTAGCACTCAACGTGGTCCTGCATAAGGTGTTTGTAAACATCGTCATGAACCTTAAAATCTGGCCTGTTAAAATAAATGTTGTGGGGCATATCACCATATACTATAATCAATAGTTGAGCTAAGAGTTGCTGAGTATATGTTAAATACCGTACAACACCCAAATTTGTTTATACTGTATAGAAACAATAATGGGTGTCAACAACGCAGAGATTCAATGAGCAGATCAAAACTACAATCGTATCATGAGTGTTTTCTGTCAATTAATTAGTAATTACCAACAATAAGAGCAGAAGGTGGAAGGAGGCAGCGTAGATTTAGCATAAACTAGCTTACAGCGCTTGTATGATGCTGGTGATATGACTGAAACAAAACTTTGTTACCGTATTTACTTTATTTTGTGTGTTTGAACAATAATCGCCAACTTGAGTATCATTAAAGCTAACCAGGCTGTGAATAGTGACGTTATTTCGTGGATTAACGTCACCATCACAGCTAACGTTAATCAGAAATAACGCTAATGGAAGCTAAACTGCGCTTGCCTACCAGGGAATAGACAGATCCAAGTTTTTAAACAGACACTGCAGTTCACCCGGTGAACTAGTATTACTGTCAGGTAGCTAACACTCCAGTGCCGTTTGGTTCAAAACAGTGACCTGAATGTGGTGTTCATATTTTACTAAAAGCGATGTGTGGCCTTATCTTCAGGTGAGCCGCTCAGCAGAGGCAGCCTAACGTAACGTCGGCAACAATAACAAAGCTAATGCTAGCGAGCTAGCTAGCTAGCCAGCTAACATTTGTCCTGTCTCCACTGCTCTGCTGTTTTTTGTATTATATGCTTTGATAACGACACTCATTGGGTCTCTACTGTCAAGTAACAATGGTTCTAGGATTTGAAATGTAAATCTCACTGTGTGAAACGTCTATTTGTCAAGCTAATGTAGGGGCTCGCTTTACCTTCAGTTCCGCACTCTCCGCCATCTTGTTACATTAGGTGCGCAGGCGCAACAGTCATTCTCAAGGGACAGAGCGCGTTATTCCCCCCCACACCCGTCTTGCGTCAAGTCCCGCCCTGCTGTGCTGTGATTGGCTAATCCTCTGTTTCGACGCGTCCTTGTGATTGGATGCTGGTTAGCGGTCGAATTTTTTCAAGTCCCGCCCGCCAATAATACGAACATATATTTTAACTTAGATGTAGCCTACAAAGGGAATGCAACTCAATTTAACTCTACGTTTAACGGTAGACCATTTGCTACTCAGCAAATCATGTATTCATAACCATAACTTTATTCAATGTACATATTAAGTAGGCTTCAAGGTAGATTTATTATTTTCTAACACAGGGTTGTATAAAGAAAATACGTTGTAGTTCCCTTTATGCTCCTCACAAAAACAAACGTCATTATTATTATTATTATTATTGTGCCCATGATCTATTTTAGACTACATGGTGGAGTTCTGAGGATGAATTAAGGATGACACAGCCTTAGGGAAGAAGCTGCTGTGAAGTCTGGTGGTACAACAGCAAATATTTCTGTAGGCCTAGTTCTTGCCAGAGCTTGGCCCGAGAATTTTACCTTCTTAAGTTTCTTTAATACAATACAATACATGCGTAGAGATGTGAGATGACCATATCAGGTTCTCAGTGATACTGAAGAATCTTAAACTATTAATCTGCTCCACCTCAGCTCTATATACAAACTGTGTGTCTTTTCCTCATTTTCCTCATACATGATTTTGATGACGTTGAGCAGTAGGTTGTTCTCTGTGCACACCATCTTGTTTCCCTCGAGAAAACAAAGGGTTAGAGAACGATATCAGATATCTAAACAGGCAAACTATTTAAAATGAAAGTAGGCCTATTTCAGTTAAAATAACATTTGTTATTTTATTTTGTTTTAGGGAAAATACTATGCTTGTTACCCATATACACATAACCTTGTTGCTTGTGCCCCTCAGAAATATTACTGTCAGTGTGGTTAATTAACTAATCAGATCTTTCCTATTTCGTAACAAAGACCGAGCAGAAACCCAATGCAATAAGTCACTAGCGAGGGAGCGCCTATAGGATCGCTACCATCCTCTGCTAGCACCCTAGCCAATCACAGCACAGTAAAGGCGGGACTTGACGCAAAACGGGTGGGGGGAAATAACGCGGACAGAGTCAATTCCAAATAGTCTTCGCAGCAGACAGCAGGGGGCGGTGCCGTATCATAGAAAACAACAGGGTAGTTGGAGATCATATGCCTTTTATCTCTATAATCTCCCATTTCATTTGCTTGAGAGATTTTCGTTTTTCTTGTACACAAATAGGCCTACAAAAAATAACGGACTGGTTAGGCCTATGTATGCTCGAGGTGAGTTTTTTTCCTTTAAAAAAGCCTATTTTATCAAGAGCTGCAACGATTGATCGATTATTTGATTATTAGATCGACAGAACAAAAATGGCTATAAGATAACTATTATGAATATCAAACACACATAGCAAACATTTGCTGGCTCCTTAAATGTCAGGATTTGCTGATTTTCTCTGTTTTAGCCTATAGGCTACCTCTGAGCCTCTGAATATTAAATGTAGACTATTTGTGTTTTGGACTGTTATTCCGACAAAAACTGTCACCTTGGGCTCTGGGAACTTGTGTTGGACTATTTCCCACTATTTATGACAGTCTATAGTCTAAACAATCAATCTATTAATCACACAATGAAATTAATCTTTAGTTGCATTTTTATTAGTATGGTGCAGCCCATGAAACTAGGCTAACTTAAGTTTTTACCCCTCATGGATATCTTCTTCTTTTTGGCGCAAATCCAACGTAGAACATACCACACCAGCAATCCAACACACATAAGTTGCACTCACATAAATTCAAAGGCTGAACTAATTACTTGCTTCTCCGATAAATGGGTAAAATTAAAAAGTTAAATATAATTCATAAGAAGGGAATTGTGCATGAAGAATCCACATTTCATTTGATAAAATGATTTATTAATTAGAGATGAAAACAAATATTACATGAACTAATAGACTACTCTTAATAGAATATGTCACTACTTACAAGGTCGCCGGTGTACTAATTTAGCCTACTAACTTCTGTTTTTAAGTCTTCAAAAACAAATAGGCATGGTTTGACCGCTACAAATAATTATATTGTAGGCCTATTTCAATGCACAAGCTTTTTATGGTAATTCCCACCACTTGTTTAAAGTGCATAACATCCAAAGTAAGCTATTGGCCTGCAAAGAAGAAGAACACAGCAAAAGTCAACAAAGTAGTAGGCTAAGTCACAATACTGAGAGGATGAAGAGCAATGGATTGGCTAATCAAAGCTGCTATTACTGACAAGAAAAAAAACCAACGAAATAACAACCTATAGGCCTAGCTAACTATCACAACATACATACATTGTCATTGCACTTTGCCACAAATAATAAATATCATCAATGGTATCATTTCAGTAAAACAAATTTCACCGTATGCAAGATGGTTACATAAATGCTGAGGTTGGAGATACACATCTTAAAATATTACAAGTAAATTACAACTTAGTCCTCTTCCAACGTGATTCCTCAGTGTCCCTAGAAGCTTTCTGTGATTTGACAGAAGCTGTCGATGTGTCCTTTGTTTCTCTGTCATATATAGCCTACATGTGTAGTAATCTGTTTTCAGGGTGGTAGCAGAGGAGATTTGAAGGAGCAGGATCCGGTGCAGTGGCGAGGAGTCAACATCTTGCACGAGAAATGATGTAAAGCGTCGTGAGCTTCTATGAAGAAGGAGATAAACAATCAATAGTGTACGTGCACGTGAGTGTTAATCGGTTTTATACGAAACGATATAGCCTGTACAATACGAATATTGCGCCTATATAGGCTGGACATAATCCTGGCAGCTATTCTTGACAATTAGGCCAGTTATAGACTTCTGCTGAATAGCATAACGAGTTTCTTTTCTTTTGGTCCAACTCGCTGTGTGTCCGGATAACCCAGACATAAAAAGCATGCAAGATTTACACTGAACACTGATTAATTTAACCCCCTAACCCTGTGGAAAGAAATCTTATGTTTATTTGTAATTTAAAATTTCACAGTCCCATGCCTGTGTTTAATTTATATGAGGAAATTAATCAATTAATCACAAAAAATGGTGGGAATAATCAGGTCAAATTTGAAACTTGCAAGTGATTCACTGAATTTAACAGGCAACTCTGCAAATTAAAACCGTGAAGGATAGCCGCCAAACAACCCAGACAAAGGATCCTTGATCTGCTGTATGCACAGACGATTTGGAGCATCACCAGTCACTTAGGTAAACATGTCAGTAAATCTGTAAACCCATGGTAGACAATGAAGGCATGTCGCAGCGCTGCTGTGTCTGCTCCCTTTGCTTTATTTGTCTCACCTCGGACGATGTGAAGCTGCTGCACCATCTCCTCCCTGTAGGAAAGTTCCCTTTTCATTTGATCATGAAAATTATCTGAGGAAAAAATGACAGATTGACATAGAAATGCCATAGATTTGAGTCAGCGATGTGGCCACATTCAGTATCAATAAAAACTTAATTTCACAATTTAAAAAGCTTAATTTGCCAGCCCCCCCCCCCCCCCCCCCCCCCCCAAAATAAATAAATATTGATAATACTTTATTTTTAATAATTTAAATAAAATTTAATTCACAAGTTTGTTGATCTGACATTTGTCATAAATATTCACTTGAGCATAAAAATAAACAGAGTGGATTAGGATATCGTTAACACTTAAATGCTTTAAACTGGTGCTGTCCAAAGATTCAACCAACCTCTAGAGGGCGCTGTTCTCAAGCTAAAGGTACAAATCAGGCAGCCTACCGACATCATGGACAAACCACAACTCCAAAGCTCTTAATTATAGCAAACACTATGTCATGCTATGGTGTGGCAATACCTACATTTATGTTTTATTTTGGACATTAGAAATTAGCGTTTGCATTTAAATACTTCAGTGTAAATTTATAGCCTATTTCTCATTGCTAGTTTTCAGAAAAATTGGATGAGTTTAAATTATAGTGTAAATGGAAATTTGTTTTTTTTTTTAAATCGCTTTTAATTGAAACTAAACTACCTACGAAAAATCTAAATATGCCCTTTCTCAGGACCTGTTCAGTATTTCAATTATGTCTTGTTTGCAGACTAAGATTAGACTTAATAATTTACCATCCCATTTTATTGGCAATTGAGAGTGTCTCAAGTCAAATAAAAAATGTGTGATAAATGTAGAACAGAGGCATCTAATTCTACAGATAAACCAGTTGCTCTGTGTTGTCACAATATACTTTATGTTCATCAGACTCCTAATAGCAGTATCTAAATACAATAAATGCATTTTTATTGTAATTGTAAATTGTAAAAGTAATGTCCACCACACAGCTTTAAGTGAATTCAGCTTTAAGTAAGAGGCATCACTGGGAACTGATGGCAGGTGTCAAGTTAAAGAGTGTGTTAAATAATTTTGTCCTAATGTGCATTTATAAAGATCCCAATGATGTGCAGACTTTACATTGGTTTAATAGTTCTAAATTAATTTCTAAGATGTCCTTATACATTGACATATGTGACATTGCACAACAGGTCAATTTGAGATATTTTTTCTGGTAAAATTATTAGTATCTATTTGCACAGTAGATGTATGATGCTGATATACACCCATAACTGATGAAGATTGATCTGGATTATATGGTCTAGTAATGTAAAGATACATACTTTATAAATTACATACATGAGTCCTTGTTTTTCCCCCTTTTGGATATCTAAGACTTTGCACAATTAAATGAAATTTCACACATCTTTCAGATTTTTAGGATGTAGGCCTACTGTTGATTAGTTTTTCACTGAGTGCTGCTCTTACAGAACAGTTATGTCAAGCGCATCTATTCTCCATTTTAATATGAGATTCTCAAATAGCTTTCAAGCAAAACCGAGTGTGAAAAGAGTTGAGTGGGTGAGACGTTTTTAAACGATTTGGAGGCAAGGTGGAGGAGTTATTGTCAGTTAAAAATACAGCAGCAGTCAGAATGTGAGTGGTCTTTTGCTCTGCAGTTCAAATGATGCACTCCATAGAGCCAGCTGCTTCTTCTGGACATGGATACAGTTTAATATTAAGAATTTTGATTTTTACAGCACCAGTCTGGAGGTTATTGCTGAAAAACATTTTTCATTGTGTTGCCGTTCAGAACAGCTTAATATCAATTCTGATATTTAAATTTAGTAAAACTGACAATTTCCTCAGCTACTACATAGTTAAACATTTTGATATGTTTTAAACCTTTTTTAAAATTATATATTCCATATAAATTTAGTATATAAATTATATCACTATGTAAATATTTCTGTCAATTAAATCTGCAATTCCACTTTTCTCCCTAGAGAACAATTTTCTAAAGATGCATGGGTGTTTTTGGGGAGGTTAAAATCGTAATCCTCTCAAATCTGTGTTAAAAGGGGTTTTCAAAACACCTCTTCCCAGGGAAGCGTGCCCCTGAACCACTTAGCATTTCTGGAAGAATGGTGTCCTTTAACAGATTTCTGCTCCACAGAGAAAGCACATGCATGCTGCTGTTGTAGGTGGACTTGGTCATGACATGGCAACGGTCATGTTTTGGCCTGAATCACAACCACGAAAGAAGAGGAACACTTAACATGCACCAGAAAGACTTTTGAGCCTCTGTCTATGAAATCACTACTACAGTGCTAAAAGCCAAAACAGTGGCAGTAGCACTGCTGCAGAATTTAGCTTACCTTTCAAGTTTTGAAATTCACGTTCCAGCTTTTTCCTCAGCTCAACTTGCTCTAACAGCTGCTTCTGTAGTTCCTCTAAAAAAGCAGACAGAAATAGAGGATGTTTGAGAAGGAAAGGTACAGGCTTTTGTGTCAGCTTCCTTCTAGGACAGTTTTCTATTTTTAATGACAGTGATGATCATTATTTACACTGACAATTCAGTGCAGATCTTCCTGGGCCTGCAGTATAAAAAGAAATTCGTCCCTTATGTGTTTTTGGAACATTTACCAAAGAGTCTGCTTCAAGGTAAAACCAGAAAAAATAAAAGCAAATTGAATGAGACATTGTCTCATTTAGTTTAAATTCAGTAAGAAACGAAATGTGAATTGTTGTATGGTCTGATTGTATTAGTATTAGATATGTTTTTGAAGAGGCTTGTTATCTGTCAATCACTTTATCTAACAGTAAGACACCGTCTTACCTTTTGCCAGACTTTCTATGGCTCTTTGTGCTGGCAGAGCTCTGGCTGGGGCGTCCTCGCCTGAACACACACAAAATAAATGATATTCTTCTATCAGCAAAAAAAAAGAAAGAAAAAAAAAGTACACCCGTAGGCCTATCTCGTAAATCAGCGCTTATAGCACACACACACCAAAAAAATCCTATTCGCTGACCTCGGTGTAACTTACCCTCTCGCTGGTTCTCCTCGCTGCTTTGTTCATTAAAAGATTTCGTTTCGATTTCCTCCACTGTGGAAGACGGCTCTTCTTTACTTGCACTCTCATCTTAAGAGAAAATAAATCGATGTAATTTTCACCCCACTTTCGATTTTATTTATTTATTTTTACAACTAAATGTTTTAACAAAAGCAGAAAAAAATGTCGAACCATTTGTAGTAAGTACTCCACTCTGGTAATTCGCAGGTCTGAACTGATACGGACTGCTCCTTTGTTGCAGCTCACCCCTCTCCGGTGTGTACACCTAAAGAAGAAAAAACCACCACTTCTTTGAGCTTATTCCGTAGAGAATTACAATAAATTAAAATAAAATCTTACATTAATAATTAAAAAATATACTCTAATTTGAAGTGTATATATTTTTATTTAAAGGAATTGTGTTTTCCCCTAAATGTCGAGGACATGCTGTTTGTTGCTGCTGTTACATTGTTTAACATAAATGACAAATTCTCCCACAAGAACACAGAGATTTATCTGTTTAAAAATACACACAGGTCAAGGAAAGAAACCCAGTTGCAGAAACCTTTAGTGAAATATTACAGCTTGTAGGCTATTATTCGCCAGCGTTTCTCAGTTATAAGTCACTCACTTCTGTAAAAGACGCAGCTATGTGGGTCTCTGATAACTGCTTGTTCTGCAGTTCTCTTTCAGAGGACTGGGCCACGAGTAGGCTCATTTTCTGGGAGTCAACCAGACTGCTCTCCTGCATGCCCTTGGAGTCTGAATCGTTTGGTGAAACACTGTGAGGAGCCAAGTCGGGAGGAGTCCGGGGACACACCGAGGACAGAGGCCGGGAGTCCTCCTCCTCCTCCGGTGTTTTATTTGTCTCCACATCCACGTCCGGCTCGCCCTCACTGTCCACGCAGGGGGACATGGACCGGTAGCTTGAGCTCTCACTTAAAAAATCGGGCGATAAATAGCCGGTGCGACACCCGTTGTAAGCACCCCTGTTGCCGTACAGCTTGGCGATGCAGTCAGCGTCTTTAATAACGGGTCTGAACGCGGAGACGTAGCTGATTTTCCGGGGCACAAGGGTCATCCCCTCCAGCGGCCTCGCCTCGTCCCCAGACTTGTCGTCTTCGTTGCGCGTGGACTGAGTGCTGGAGCACCGGTCGTTTTCGACCATGCTGTCTTTTGACGTGTTGGTGCTCCGGTCGCTGTGCTCAGATATGTCCATGTCAGTCTGTCTAGGAGGACACAGCAGCTCTGGTGGGGGTTTGTGCTGAGTCTGGGGGTACGGAGGCATGGGCAGAGCGCCCGCCGCGGGCCAGAACATGGGGAAGGAGTGATAGGCGCTGTCCTTGGTACCAGGCCACAGGACACCCGGAAGGCCCGCTTTACTTTGCTCCCCCATCATACTGTCGTCTTTCTTCTGGCACAGGCCGAAGGCTGGGAACCCGTAAGGATGAGGAAAGAGCGGCGGTGGGATCTTTTGCAGCATCCCAAAGCCTTTACTGGGCACGGGGATGACTGGGTAGCTGCGCGTGCTCGTCATGCCGTCCCGGTTGTCCTCGCAGCCGATGATTTTTGCAGGTACTTCGGGTGACTCTCGGGGACGGTTGGTTCCTTGTGGTTTTAAAGGAGAGCTGGACCCTGAACCACAGCCTGGCAGCGTCCTCTTGCGACTGCCCCCGTTGAACATGGCCTTCACATCTTCCCATGCGTGTAATACATCTATCTGGCCGTTTTTATCGGTTAATTTGAGATGCCGCCTCCAAGAATTAAAATTAGCTGCATCTGGCTGCGTGTACTTGGACTCTGGCGTGCGATGCGAATGAAATATGAATTTATTCGGAGAAAAATACATGTTGCAATAGGAGCACTTGATGCACTTGGCCCTTGAGCTGTTGTATCTGGCCGGGATGAAGTTGCCTCGACTCCCCCAGGCACATTCGTGGGACACATCAAAAGAAAAATTTTCTGGAAGTTTAGGAGGCGAATGAGCTCCTAGGAATGACTTACAAAGTCTCTCTGCCTCGCGCTTAGTGATCATCCCGCAGCGCCTGGAGGAGATTGGCATTGCCCCGGCTCTCCGCAGGATCTCCAGCTGGACAGGAGTGCACTGGACGCAGGTGATTCCCAGCGCCACACGTCGGTTATGTATCTCGTTATAGCTGTAATGTTTCAATAGGGTGTTAGATATCTGTGCAAGGCAAAGTCTCTCCTGGCCATCTATCACCAAAGAAACGATCGGTATTCCGTACAACACCGTCTCTCCGACCTGGTTGGGTTTCAGGTTCTTGGTGCCCGGGTAGGAAAGTTCTTGTTTGGAGCTTGGCGAGGAGCTGGAGTCTCGCCCCGCAGGTATGGAGTCCATCCTTGGAGGGCTGGAAGCTGCAGAGACGACGTTTGAAATTAATATGAGAGTTTCAAGTAGAGGTTTAAAATAAGCCATTTAGTTAATTTGATTTCGCAGCATGGCGGTTCAGCCTGCTAAACATAGAAACAGAGAGGACAGGCAATTACAGGCCTTCATTCTAATGAAAGTTGCACGGCCAACGCTTAGGAATAAAGGAAGGCCTTTAAAATAAGCAATATGTTGTGACATAAACTAAAGTTCATGTTCAAATGATATATTCATCTCACTTAAAACTTCACTTAAATTAATTTGTTTTCCCTGCAACTTCAGCTTTTTTTTGATCCGCAGGTTTCAATTCTGAATAATTTCATGTTGGGATTTTAACATCAGTTTGGGCGTATTAACATTGTAATAGTTGGATTGAAGTCATTACACAAACACAGTCTACAACACAGACTGCATCATAGCCTACTGTCGAAAGCGGTTTCCAAAACTCACCTTTAATGAGCGCGCAGCTTCCCTCCGTCGTGAACGAGAAAGCTGTGAACAAGCGAAAGTCGGAGCGATTTACGAAGTCTAGTCTGTGTCGGAGTATGTGAGGATATTTGCTTTAGGAGCGGGACGCAGTCGTCCGTGCAGCACCGCCTCCCTCGTGCTCACTGTCCTCCCCTCTCTCTCTCTGCTCCGCTGTCGGTGTGTGCTGATGGTTTGTGTTGAGCCAGCAGCAGCAGCAGTGTCCACATGGCAGGCAGACTGTAGTACAGCCCCCCTCTACGACACTGACAGCAATCAAGTGACGGCAAAACTTGTGGCAAAGGCACTCCCATTCACACAGGCAGTCTGCATTAACTATGGATTCATGACCAATGGAGCAGGTTCGGTTTGAGTGTTTGGTCATATATCTGCCTGCAAGTCTACATCTGGATAAAGTGTTGTCTAAAAAAGGGGGGGAATCAAAAACCTAAACATGTTGTTTAATGCAGCCTATAGGTCCGTGTTTTCTAAATCAAAAAAGAAAACATCCACATTAATATTTCATCACTCTGTGGCCTATTGCGCCGACCATAATGCATTTAATTAATTATTTTGCACTTCCCTGCGGGAAAAAAAAGTCAGTGTTATTGACATTATGCACAGAGGAGGCTGCAGAGGGGTTTGGTGTTGCGCTAAAAACAGCAGGGACCCACCGACACATTGTTGTGTGCGCGCATTCGGGGCCCGCTGATGAATAGGACGTGAAGGCCTTCAACACGTGCTCGGTTCCCACGGATTCATTGCTTACAATGTACGCGTCGCCCACACGCGTTTTGACAATAAGCAGCTGCTCTAAAGGTCACTCTCTGTGATCAGCGCTTTTTTCTCCGAGCCGAAAGAAAGAAGATCAGACAGAGGACCGACGTGGACAGCCTTGCGCCGTAAGCGCCGGGCATTCAACTTTTCAAAGTTAAAAAAAAGCTTTGGGTTAATCATCTTCATCTGGCACACGCGCGGGGCCAAGCACTGATGTAATATTGATGAAGGTAACAGGACACGTTTCTGTTGGTCCTATCGACTTCGGTGGGACAGAGCTGTACAGCAATAACGACACTCTGTCCATAATTGTTCACTCATTTTAAGAGAGGAACAATTTGAATACAGACAAAAATATAGGCCTACATATATCCTACATATCGAGTAATATGGAAATGATAATAATTAAAACGTCTGGTCTCCTAAATTCAATTCAAAATGCTAATGAACAATATCAACAATAATAGTTACACATTTTTTTGTGTAGCCTATTTAAAAAATGAAAATGGGAAACCTTTTCACAAGACTTAAAAGTGTAATTTTCTTCTTTACTTGGGTCATTATTTTACAATCTTATTCTATTTGATTTTGGGATTAAACACATTTTATAACTGAGATCAATGTCAAAAACATGCTTACATGAAAATGAATTTTGCGTGAGACCAAAAGTTCTACAGTAAGTGAACAGAGGTTGTCCAACTTAAGGCATGTCCTAACTCCAAATTTAAATAAAGTAGCTATCTTCCATCTGCTCATCTATCCATCATTGAACAGGTATGGCCCATTAAACCTCATTGTCATCAACATAAACATCTTAATTAAAAGTCATTGTTGCTATCAGGTAAATTCAAAGCTTTACTGACAGCCTGAACAACTCCAAGTGGAATGAAATGACCTAAAATGTTTAGCTCTTCAAGAAACTGCAAATAAAACCAACACTGACTCAACACAGATGTGTGAAAATGTGACATGTTCACAGGGTCACTATGAGAAGTGTTGTAATATGAATGTGTTTCAACCATTCCTAGGCAGGGAATGAGAAAAGTAACTGAAAAAGTCAGTAAGGTCATTATCAGGCTCATGCTTATTTTACCTTTTTGTGCAATAGAGAACGGCTCATTTAAAAGTGTGTCTGCATTAATCACAGTGCTGCATCAAAGTATGATAATCACCTGAACACTCTATTAAAATAAAAGTGCCAGCCCAGGGGAAATCTTACCTTACTCTTTAATTGTTTTGAGGCTTTGATAGGCTTTTTAATCTAAGATTAATTTATGCATTCTTAAATAACTCTACATATGATTAATAAGCTTGAAAATTAAAAGGAGACTGAAGCAATTATAACAAGTGGTTGGTCATCACCTCATTAGATGGTATTAGAAAGATGCAGTTTGTGAGTGTGTGTGTGTGTGTGTGTGTGTGTGTTTGCCTGATTGGGAATCAGAAATGAACAGTGGAAGGGCAGAGCAAAATGTGGAAAGATAGTTTGATGACAAGAAAAAAACAGTGCTGCTGGGTAATTATTCTGGATCTCAATATACTCTCTCTGACTGGTTGAGTCACAGTGATTTATTAGAAACTTGATATCACGCATGACTCATTTCAACAGACTTATTGTCAGTTATAGCAGCACCGGTCCTAATCAAGATCAGCTTAAGATTGTTCGAATCATTCACCGTTGACCATAGTGTTGATCCTGAGTGGATTCTCAACTGGGAAGACAACAAAAGAGAAAGATCAGCTGTTTGCGAGGTCACCGGAGAGACGCAGTGAAAACAGTGAGACTTGCTAAATGGTTGCTAATGTGTAAACAAGACATCACTCCTCTCCTGCTCTGATGTTTATTTGTCTCTTAAAAGCTCACCCCTGGGTCCTGACCCCCCACATCTTCCACCGCTAAACGGAACATTTCTTCTCGCAGGAGGTGGTGTGCAATATTTGTGTGTGTGTGTGTGTGTGGGGGGGGGGGGTTCATCACTGCATCAAATGAGCCTGAGCGCAGGGACCCTTTTGTCACAGACAGGGACTCATCTGCCAATGGTGAGCTGTGAGGTCCTAGGGGAAGGGAGGAACAAAGGTGCTAAAAGGCTGTGTGACAATGAGCATGCTCCGAGGAGCGCCTTCAAGTGTGGGACGCAGGCTGCACGGGACAAGCTGTGCCAATCACTCCGCAATTACTTTTTTGTGCAATTCACAGGCCTTGTGTGGGCATTCATGGAGAGATGCAAGGACACGAGCAGCAACAGCAAGGTCCGTGTCTGTCTGCTTCTTATACAGAGCTGACCCTAAGCTCATCGTGGCACACATGTATAGTAAATCACTTGCACTTCTGTTGATTTGATTGTGGAAAACCTGACAAGAAAACCTCTTGCTTGAAATGACAAAGGTTTATTTGTCACATACACAAGTAATATGTGTAGTGAAATACAGTGTGGCATACTCCCAAAGTAGTGCTTAATGACTAATGTAAAAAATAAGAATTTGATTAAAAATAAGATAGTCCTCATCCTGATGAGGAAAGCCTGTGTTGAAACATAATACAAAACTGTTGTGAAGTATTGCTTTTATTTGATATCTGGCATATCAAGCCATATTTACCACTAGCTAAATTGATATCACATCAATGATATTTTTCCAATGTCAAAATTTATAACAATGTAGTGTATAAATGTATAAAAATGTACATATTAAATAATCAAACTTGTGTTAAATGAAATAAACTCTGTTTCACACTGCGTTAGATCAAACAAAACTATTTGAATATGGCTAATATGATAACTCATTTTGTTAAGATTTTAAGTAAAGGTTTGTCAACAACTGTTAAGTAATTTTGTTTTTCTTACAATTTGCTTGTAATTATACATTAGGACAATAGTTTTGTAAAAATAAATCAAAAGTCATATGATGATTTTGACTTATTATTTCAGGCTACCAACAAACTAAGTAAGCCCAAATACACAGGCCTCACTGATGCTAATTCATAATGACAACTCTTATGCTTAACTATCATCACCAACTGTGTTTAGAGAGTATTTAGAGAGTTTAAGTTTTGTGGATCAATAATGTATGCTACAGTGTAATGAAGAAAGATGCAGGAATTTGTCTACATCCAACCCCGAGCAGTTTCAATGGTGTAATGAGGAGTCAAGTGAGAATAGGAATTATCGTAATGATAACAAAGGTCTATGCACCATAGCTTGGGGCTATATTGTAGGACATTACCATAAAGATGTGATGTGTTTGTATTGCTGGCTTTTTGTGAGGGAACAGGCCAAAGAGATAATAACTATTAGTAGATGACAGTGCTTTGTGGGATTCCAGCTGTGGAGCCCAAATTTCCATACAGATAGAATGGCTCTGGGTGGATGAAATGCGAATGTGGGGGAAGGGCTGGGTGACTCAGTGGACTCATCTGTGCACACACACATACATACAAACACACACACACCCGCACACACCATAGTCTGCAAGTGGCAAATCTCAGTGTTGGACTCGGTCTTGGTGTCCCTAGCCAGACTTTGGGGTGAGGTGAGAGCCTCGGGTTTGAACACTCTGCGGTTCTCTGCGGAGGAACTGTCCAGAGTACTGAAACAGCCCACTGTTGCTCTGGTGACAGATTTCAAAGTCAGGAAGTGCAAATAGCTAGGCCTCTCTTTCCATGTATGTGTCTGTGTGGACAGAAGACCAGAGATTTCCATCAAGATCACATGCAGGTGAGAGGGTGTGCAAAATAC